GTGAGTAGGAGGGAATACAACTCAGCTGAAAAACCAACTGTACTTTTTTTTTCTTTTGCTATTTTCAGAAATTCAGAGGAAATGATGAGCTATTCAAAAGGCAGGCAAATTGAACAGGCAGACTGAGCAATTTACCACCTCTGGGCTAAAAGGGCAGGTTTTTTTAAAAAAAAACCCAGCTATTTGTTTAGTTAGAGAATTTCTCAGAGGTTTCTGTGGCCCAAAAGGACCCTGCCGGGTGCTTGAAGCTGCAGACAGGGTTTGCAATCCGCAAGGCTAGTGAAAAGACCCCTCCCTTCCCCCAGATTGGTGAGGTAACTCCACTGTTTTCATAGCAGCCACTTTGGAACTAAGAAAATCTTTGGACCTTGGGAACAAATAATATTTACATATACCACCTATTTTTGTAGAAGAATCAAACATCCCAGGGGTGGGGGGAAGAGGGGCAGCCAGTCTCTAAACCTCTCATTTGTTTTCTTTCAACTATTAAGGCATGGAAGAATTTGGTTAATCTAGTGGCCTACAGCAGCAGCCCCCAACCTTTTGGGCACCAGGACAGGTTCTGGGGAGAGAGGTTTTCCCGATTAGAGGGGGTGTGGTTTCGTGTGCTGCCTGCATCCTTGCGGATGGGGCTTCGCTTGTATGCGCAGACTGGTTTCTGGCATACTGTGGCCAGTGCCGGTCCACATCTTAATGGTGATCTGGATTTGGGCAGCCCTGATAAGGCCAACCTAGTTTAATTCGGTATGCAGGGATTTGCAAGAAACGCTTGTAATCTCCTTGATAAATTATTTCAGTGTAACCTCTGTATTCTCAGCTAAATAAGAATCATTAACTCTCTCTCTCTCTCTCTCTCTCTCTCTTTAATGTTAGTCTTCATTCTCCGAAAGCTGGCTAAAGGTGGAGGGAGGGAAGGAATGTAAGACCATTTGTAACTGCATGCAAACCCAGGCTATATGGACATTGCAGTGAATTTATGAAACTTAATTCTAAGAAAGAAAAACTCCAGTGTTTTTTTTTTATTTCACAGGGGGTACAGGTGAAACACTATAACAATATTCATACAAGGAACTCTCATCCACAGAGCCACCCAGATTTCAACCTCATATGTTAAGAAACCCTGTTGGTGCTGAAACAATTGGATAGTTTGCAATTTTAATGAGACTATGAGAGCTACATAAAATTTAGATACAGACAGCCCTCAACTTACCACCAATTCCCCAAAAGGAAGTTACGATGGTTGGGGCCCCTTCATAGTCATGTGACCAAACTTTTGAGCACTCTGCAACACAGCCATATTTGTCGCTGTTTGCAAAATACCTCAGCCACCTTGACCATGTTTTATGATGGTTTTGCTGAACACCATGCACTTCATTTTTGGCAAAACCACTCCCATAGCAAGTCATTCATTTGCTTAACCACCAGAGTGTTTGCTTAACAGCTACCACTAAAAAAACAAAACACCACAACTCATGTGACTAATAGCTATAATGGACAGATTCTATTATGGTTATATGCTGGGGACTACTTGTAATGCTTATGTGTACACACTGTGCTAATCTAGTTTTAAGGACACGAGCAACATACTAAACCACGAAGCAATAGCAATGGCCACATTCACATAGTTCATAAGCCCAAAGAACACAATCATGTCTTAGCCTGGAGTAGTCTAAAAATCCCAGGCATGGAGGAAAGGAGGAAGCTTAACCCATAAATATTGAAGTCCTTGAGATTTGGGGATATGCATAAATCAAGAGATTTAAGTTTTTACCTTAAAGCCTAGTGTCACACCCCCGGTTGAATTTTTCTTTTTTAACCATGACCACGCCGCACCCATCTTGAGCCTTTTCCCGAGGGGGGGAGGGAAAATGAAAACTCAAGCCATTTTTATAGCTGCTAAAAATCCTATTTCCTTGGTGGACTTAAAGATAAAGAGTCAATTTTAGCAGCCCCCCTTAGCCTACAGGAGAGAAAAGCTTTCCCCATTGTAGGAATTAAGTTGTAACATAAACCAGTGTTTTCTCAACCTTGGCAGCTTTAAGATCTGTGGACTTCCAACTCCCAGAATTGAAATTTACACATCTCAAAGCCGCCACTGTTGAGGAAATATTGAATAAACACTGCAAAACATTTTGCAAGGCATTAGACCGGCTCTCCCTTTAACAGGGACACACTAGCAATCTTAAGCAATTGAGAAAATAACAAGTTATGGAATCAGAGGAAGATGTGATAAGTAGAGTTTTAAAGGACAGGGGCTGAGTTTCCCATGGCAAAATAAGGCTTTTATTAAGTTTGCTATCTTCAGATGGACCCTGCAGAAATAACGATTGGCTTTTGGAGGAACAAATGGAACGCTAAATCTTCTCGCCTTACTAAGAAATTCTCACTGCAAACTTCCTTTGGGGCTGAACATCTAACTGGACTGGAGGACAGGATAGGTCAAGATCCACAGGATCCCACTCACATCCACAGGATTGTTCATATTTACAATTGCTGCCTATTTGACATCGATCAATTCTTAGCTTTGCTTTGGGGAGGGGGTCTTGAACTTTATTCAGCTGCAAGTAAATTTTAGCAAATGAAAGATTCCCCCCATTATTCATCTGTGCTGCTAAATTTTTGATTTGGACTGCTAAAATCATAAAAGAAGAAACACTTTAAAAAAAACGTTTGGAATCCTACAGGTAAGAAATCACTTACAAATCATGGTCTCTGCACAAAAAGGCTTCATGCATTTAAAAAAATGAGCAGGCCTTCCATTGCCATATTGACTTTTTAATCATATTCTGTGGATAGAGCCAAGGTGGCGCAGTGGTTAAATGCAGCACTGCAGGCTACTGCTAGATCAGCAGTTCAGCGGTTCAAATCTCACCGGCTCAGGGTTGACTCAGCCTTCCATCCTTCCGAGGTGGGTAAAATGAGGACCCAGATTGTTGGGGGCAATGCTGACTCTCTGTAAACCGCTTAGAGAGGCCTGAAAGGCCTATGAAGCGGTATATAAGTCTACTGCTATTGCTATACCTCTACCTTCTGCCTACCTGTTGACTTCCTTTCTTACGTGTCACTATGGAACAGAAAAAATTCATCATACTAGCACTCAAGGAAAGAACAAAGGAGGATATTTATAGCTCAGGCTGAAATGAGGGACCTTTGGCGCTTTCTGAGCATGGTGGTTTTCTTGAAGATGTTTAATTACCCAACTAGGTAACATCATCAGTGCACTGATGAAACACAATACTGTAATGAATCAATGCACTAGAATTACAGGTAATCCTCTACTTACAAGCACTTGTTTAGTGACTTTCCAAAGTTACAACAGCATTGAAAAAAGTGATTTTATGATCAGTTTTAGGACGGTTGGCAGCATCTACATGGTCACATGATTTGGGCACATGGTATTTATGATAGCTGCACTGTCCTGGGGTCATGTGTTTACCATTTGGTAAACCTCCTAGTTGGCTTCCAACAAGCAAAGTCAATGGGAGAAACCAGTTTTGCTTAATGACACAAGTGATTCACTTAATTATGACAAAGAGGTCATAAAAGGAGGCACAACACGTTTAACACATGCCTTACTTAGCAACACAAATTTGGGCTTAATTGTAAGTTGAAGACTCTCTGTAGTTGAAATGTAATTATGGGTATAATCCTTGTTGAATCCACTTAGCTATATACCTAGACTCCAAATATCCATGAGCTGTGGTTCTCAGGTACTATCATTTTACATACAGATAGTTTTTGACTTACAACAGTTCATTTAGTGACTGTTCCAAGTTACCGTGGCCCTGAGAAAGTGACTTATAACTGTTTTTCACACTTATGACCATTGCGGCATCCCCATGGTAACGTGATCAAAATTCAGACACTTGGCAATTGACTCGTATGATGACGATTGCAGTGTCCTGGGGTCATGTGACCACCATTTGGGAACTTCTGACGGGCAAAGTCAATGGGAAAGCCAGATTCACTTAACTGTGTTATTAACGTAACAACTGCAATGATTTACTTAACTGTGGCAAGAAAGCTTGTAAAATGGAGCAAAATTCAATTAACACTGTCTTGCTTAATGTTGGGCTCAATTGTGGTTGCAAGTTGAGGACTACCTACACATTCATTCACATTATCAACATTCACCAAACCCATTAAATAACAATCTAACCAATCACAGGCTAGTTTTCTGGGCTGTAGAAACTCCAAATCTGTGATTAATTTGTGACTGTTGGATCACCAAGTAAGATCATAATGTTAAGTGATCACACAGAAGTTCAGTTTCTTATGGGCAAACATTTTGTATAGAATAGAATAGAATAGAATAGAATAGAATTCTTTATTGGCCAAGTGTGGTTGGACACACAAGGAATTTGTGTGTCACACAAGGAACTTGTAAAACTAAACTAGTATTAAATCTGCAGCAAATCTAGGTCTTCCATCTTCTGCGTGTGAAGCCACGTCAAGTAAGGAAATCTTCCAGAAGAGAATATATGGGTTGAACTGTGGAATCCTCGGTGCTCTCTAAAGTTAATTGTTTGTTTGCAGACATTTCATTACCCATCTACGACATATCATCAGAAATCAAATCCCATACTGGCTAATACTAATGACGTTCCTAGTTGGGTAATGAAATGTCTATAAGCAAATAACTAAACTTAGAGAGCACGGAAGACCTCGCAGAAATCCTTTGCATGGTTATTTTGACGTTTCAGTGAATTTATTTTCAAGTAGACCCACAATGGGTTCCACTCAAAAGTCAAAAGATTTTGAAGTCAAAAAGGTTAGTTTTTAGTTGACCTCTACTATGGCATCCATCAGCTGGCAAAATATGGATTCTCAGCCTAATTCCTCTCTTGTCTGTTCAAACTAGGGACAACAATATTTCTCTCCAGAGTAGGAGAATTGAAAGTGTCATCAGCCTACGAAGTGTGGCCAATGTTTGAACTCTCAGAAGTGCTATCAGTCTCAAACAGCCTTAAAAAAAAAAAAAAAAAGGAACCTGTACTTACTATTTTTGAGGTAACACAACAGACAGGTGTTGGAGAAGGCGGCTTGGCAGCCCCCTGCCCCAGAAGCAGGCCAAATCTTTGGCCAGTATCTGGGGGAGAAGAGGGGGTGTGAATCCGTGTTTCTAGCCTTTCCGGTTCGTGTCTGTAGCATTCAAGTGGAAATGCCGGCTGCTTGGTTCCCTGGGTGGGAGTCGATGGTGAAGAGGAAAGGCCAGACGCTAAAGATGAAATACAACAAAACAGAGCAGGTTAGTCCACCTTCACCTTCACATGGAGCAAATCATCCAGATTTTTTTTTTAAATTAACATCTTGCTCTCAACACATCCCAAAGGTGTTTTTCAAAAAAAGCAACTGGATTCTCTTGGGGTATTTTTGCTTTGAAAACATTTCACTTGTCATCCAAAAAGCTTCTGAGGAACTGAAGAAGCTTCTTGGGTGAGAAGAGAAACATTTTTCAAAGAAAAAACAAAGGAAGTCCAATTGCCTTTTGGAAAAGCATCTTTGGGATAACTACGACCCGGATGACTAAGAATCTCCATAGCTACTTGCTGTCCCCAGTTGGATTCTCACCACATCTTTAGCCCAACTGTACACATCACATCATGGTTGAGTGTGTCATGAGATTGCTTAGAAGGAAAATCTATTATGCTCTTCTCTTACAAACTTAATCAGCATAAACCTTAGCGAGGTGGGTGGCATACAAATTTAATAAACAAAAAAGAAGAAGAAAATAGCCTCTCTATTTCTCCAATAGTGGAAAAATCAGTAGATGTTCTTCAAGAGTGAGCCCATTCAGGAGCAGTTAAGTTTTAGACACGTTATTCCTCAAATGCCATAGCGGTAGTCCTTGATTTACAACCATCCGTTTAAGTTACACTGGCTCTGAAACAAAAAAATATAGACTTATGACACAAGACCATTGACATCCCTACGAGTCTCAGGAGCAAAATCCAGGAACTTGGACATGGGCATGGATTTACAATGATTTCAGAATCCCAGAGTCAGGGATGACCTTCCCAGCCAGCTTCCAATAAGCAAAGTCAATGGGAGAAGCCAGACTTGCTCAATTACCATATGATTTGTTTAACAACTGCAGTGATTTGCTTAGCAGCCATGGCCAAAAAGGTCATAATTGTGGGTGTAACTTACTTAACCATTTTGCTTAGCAACAGAAATTTTGGTTCCAATTGGGGTTGTCAGGCGAAGATCCCTGGGGAGTATTTCTACAGAAGCAGGTCCAGAATCAACTTGTTGGTGTTCCATTCATGTAAGTAAAATCTCCCATGAAAAGTAAAAAGGCCTCTTTCCTATTTTGCAGACTGCCCGTCTTACTCTCTGGTAAGATTTATGCTGATTTTTCATTGGTGATCACCAGCAGACCAAATACTGGTAAACTTTTAAAGAATATATTCTTTTCAACATTGCCCGACCCCCACCCTCTTGCCAATACAGTATCTAACTTCCTAGTTGTATTTGTGGTACCACTGCTATCCAACCTCTTCATTTTGAATTGGTGGTCTCTCTACTTTGGAATTTAGCAAAAGGCTTTGATGATGGCCCTTTGATTTATTGTATTGTCCCTGCATGATTGTTATCTGCCAAGAAGTTGTGGGTTGTTAATGAAGATATCAATGCAAATGACTTTCCCCACCTCAAAAGGAGACGGTTTGGTGCAGTGATTAAGATGCTGGCCCAGCAGCATGTGAATTCTAGTCCCACTTTAAGCACAAAAGCTGGCTGGGTACTTTGAGACAATCACCAGGAGAAAGGGACGGTGAGTTCTAATCCTACCTTAGGCACGAAAGCCAGCTTGGGTGACTTTGAGCCCATCATCAGGAGATGGTGAGTTCTAATCCTGCCTTAGGCACCAAAACCAGCTGATGTTACTATTCTGCCTTAGGCCTGAAAGCAGGTTGGGGAACTTTGGGTCAGTCACTCTCAACCCAGCCACCCTACAGGGTTGTTGTGAGGAAAATAGGAAAATGGCAGGACAAAAAAAATTAAAAGCTTTCCAGTGAAAAGGATTTCAGCAGTAATTCTCCATTCTCCGTTCCTACCACCCTTCTAGGAAAAGAGAACATACCAGTCTGTCTTCCATCTGCTGAGTGGAATAAGTATGTTTGAATAAGTAATCGAAAAAGGAATTTTGTTTGAAGAGTTAAAACAAAGCTTTAAAAATGTAACAGCAGCAGTTTGGGCCAAAATCATGAAAATGCTCACCAGATTGTTCAGGACGACACTTCTTATTTTAGATGTTGCCATGGAAAAACAGATGCTTCTACGAAGTTTTTTAAAAAGCCCCAAGTGGGCTTTGCTTAAGTATATTTAAGAAGTGGAAGGCTTTCGGACTACACAAAAAGGGATGTAGTGTTGTTGATCCATATGGAAATAGATCACAGGATCTTTAGTGTATGAGACCTGAGTTATAGCTCAGACTTCTGCTCTCTTTTAAATGTGGGTATGCTATAATCCTGCCTTTGAAGGAGTGAAGCATTGCCAGAAATGGAAGGGAGTAAAAGCGGAAGAATTGAAAAAGAACATGGAAATTTGAAGGGGGGGGGGGGGAGATGAAGCATATAGACAAGAATGGAGTTGGGTTGAAATCTCATGGAAAAGGAGAACTGAAAAGCAAGAAAGAAGAACTTACGTTGTGTGAATGAAAAATGATGACCTTTAATATTGCAACTCGTTAGTTTTACAGATGCCACTAATCCTCAGTGCACCACCAGAGGACATGGCAAGCCAAGAAGAATGGCCAACATGATATGGTTGGTTGGTTGGCTCCTTTTACTTTTTTGTAAGTATAGGTAATCCTCGACATACAACCATTCGTTTAGCGTCTGTTTGAAATTACAGCGGCACTGAAGAAAACACTGTGACTGGTCTTTGCAGCAATGACTATCGTGTGATAAAAAGTTGGGCACTTGACAACTGGTATATATTTTGCAACCGTTGCAGGATCCTAGGGTCACACGATCACTTTTTGTGACCTCCCCACAGAGCTTCCGACAAGCAGAGTCAATAGGAGGAAGCCAGGTTCACTTAACAACTGCAGTGTTTTGCTTAATAACGGTGGCAAAGTGTTTCTGTTTCTGTTTATTAGTCTTGTATGCCGCCCACTCCCGAAGGACTCCAGGCGGCTTACAATAAGAAGGGGAAAGGGAATAAATAAGACAAACAACAAATTTAAAATACAACCACATTCATAGATTACCGTGGGGCTGGATACTTCAACAGCCCCAGGCCTGCTGGAGCAGCCAGGACTTAGTGGCTTTGCAGAAGGCTGGGAGGGTCGTAAGGGTCCGGATCTCGACGGGGAGCTCGTTCCAGAGGGCCGGAGCTGCAACAGAGAAGGCTCTCCCCCGGGGGGTCGCCAGCCGACATTGATTGTAATATTGGGTGTTACTTAATAATCACCTTGCTTAGCAATAGAAATTCTGGTCCCAGTTGTGCTCACCATTCGAGGACAACTTGTAGTGATGGTAGAAAGAATGTGACCCAATCACAATCATGTTCAATTACATTTATCAACATGCCTGCAGGCATTTTAAAAGAAAGAGTGAATCATAAACTGATTCCCCTATCCAGATACGTCTGAATTGTACTACATTCTTCAGAAAAAGGATTTTGGGACTGAGGCTTCGAAATGCACAAGAGTGCAAGCATGCTGCCCTTTTTAAAGCAACTGTATCTTATTCAGGCTTCTGCACAGCTTGGGAAGTGTGTAGCAGGCTCCCAGAGTCGAGAAAGACACATAGTGTTACTTTTAAACAGTTTCCTTTATTGTTCCTCACACATAGAAATCTTGCAGAACTATAAAGCAGCCCACTTGCATCATTAAAGATATATTATGAGAATTGCTAGGGTGGAGCCACTTTAATTATTTTTCTCCCAACCAAACCATCTAAACTTTGCTGTCTCTTTGTCCTCTGGAATGCAGTCCCTCCCTCCTGGGAATCCAGACTACATTTCACCACAAGGGAACAAGACTCCTTTAATGAGCCAGCTCTTTAAAGCAGCCGCATCTTTTTCTAGGCTCCCATAGATTCCTGAAAAATATATATAATGACTCTTAAGAAAAGCCGTGTGGCTATTTCCACACCTTCAAAAGTATATCTCCTGATCAGGGATGGGTTACTAACAATTTGCAACCCGCGCGCTGTGTGCACATGCGATATTTAATGGAAATTGTTCTGTGCACATGCACAGAACAATTTACAGCGAACTGCGCACGCGTAGTCACTAAAATCCAACATGGTGGCGACATCAGCGGTGGTGAGGGAACCAGTTCAGGGGCGTGGCAGGCCTGAGTTGCTGCCGGTTCTGCCACCCAGGCCTGAATTCCCCTACCGGTTTGGCCAAACTGGCAGCAACCCACCTCTGCTTCTGAGCCATATTTGAAGTGCCTAGTTCTAAAATTCAGTATGTATTCTCAAATAACATTGCTGGCTACTAATGCTTGCTTCCAAAAAGATTTAATACATTTCCTTTCTCCTGAGATGTCTTTTAAATATAACCTTTTGTTGAACACACCAGGCTTCTCAAAGTGCTCGAGCCTGGCGCACAAGCTACCGATGATTAAAATGACCACTAGAAGGAGAAATTGCTGCATCAGCCCTGATTGCTACAACTGGTGGAGTAAAATTGCAACAAGCACTAATGGAGTAACAAATCAGTGGAATGGATGTCCGATAACAGGCTGTGCCAAAATAAAAATAACCAGACACGCAGGAGCCAAGCCGCACCATCTGCAGTGTACAGTAATCAACATACCAATAAATAAATATAAGACAGTAAGAGGGATTCAATAAGCGATCATCATACAAATTGCTTTTTTGGAGCATCTGAAAGCTATATCTATCTTTCTATTTATTTCCAGTTGACACGCGAGGCAATATTGAGGAGAAGTAGTCTTGGAAAGTGGGAACTTTCAGATGAAATAACTAAAGGGAAAAGATGCTGAATGCATTTTCCATAATTTCGCACACCTGCGCTACACGCATACACACACACACAGCATTAAGGCATGGCTTTCTTTATGCTGGCTCAGTGAGTTGCATAAACTTACCACGTGATTTACAAACCATGGTTTGTAGCATAAGGCAGTGTTTTTCAAGGTCCACCATTTTAAGACATCTTAGAGTTGAAGTTCTCGCATCTTAAAATGGCAGAGCTGATAAACAGTGGCACAGGTAGTTGTGTACACTATCTCCAAAG